AAAACAGCCCAATTTGGACTTTAGACAATCAACTCCGGACTCTAAAACATAACACCAAGCAGTTACAGGTCATTGATTATCATTAATCGATAACAACGATCGCTTGATTGATCGAATAACTGGCTTTCTTTAAAACACACAATGCTATATTTGGCTTTTCAGGTTTCTTGGAGCATTTAATTACCGGAAGCCTCAGCCCGATTTACTAACGGGCCGTTTTGAGAGATTTCTTAGCGATCCATTAGTGGCCACCTATATATCATATTTACTTTGTACCAACCTGAATGAACATTTCTACCTACACAGCGATCCATCCAGCCACACATTCTCCGTTTTCTTCCCTTTCCCTTTTATCGCTACGGTGTCGATAAAAATCTAAAGTTCTGCTTCTGGCTCTTCTGGCCATCTTGAACATAGACACATCGGGGCTGTTATAGAGTTTCTCTGATCTTATCTTTCTATCTAGTTTTTGGTCTACTCCCTTTTCGACGTCCTTCTTCTCTTTTTCTCTATGCCTTGTATCTTATGACGTCACAGGAGATTTTCTCTAAGCGAGCAAATCCGTAATATGTAATTTAGAATTGGTTTTGTGCATACATTTTCTTTAGTGATTTTAGTGACCTCATTCCTTATGTAAACTTTTGTGGTTACTTCTGCAGCCTTTCTCGGACATCTCATTTCCATAGCTACTGAATTTTTTTTCTGGCTGGCTACACGACTACTCCCGTCGAGCTTATACTCTTTTCCCTTAGTGACTTTCTCGTCTTCAGTTGTGAGTATGCTATCAGTGGCTATTATTGGGCTCTTACTACAATTAATGAGGGCGACGCCATAATAACTGAGAAAACAGTCTTATAAAAACTGCCAGAGTAAATAAAAAAATGGAATTAAAATAAAAAATAAAGAAATCAAGGGGAGACTACAACCTCCAACTATCAGTCTGAAAAGGGGAAGGGGAGAAAGAGAGAAGGAAAAAAAGGGAAAAATAGGAAAAAATGTGGGTGGGGGGGGGGGGGAATTCATTCAGACGGGCAACTATATGAAGGATCACTGGTGAAAATATTGTATCCATCCACATATATGTTTGTCAGTATGTCTTTCCTAATCTTCGTTTTTTCCTTTCTGATAACAGCAGTTGTGAGTCGTCGATGTGCTTAAATAAACGTGTTACAGTTTGTTCAGAAATTCATGAACACGTCTGCAATCTATATTCTCGATAACTGGCTGCAATTTAAATGTTAAAAATCATCGCTATGTGGGATGCAATTTTTTTGTTATTTGAAGCCCCACCCTGGTTTCTGCCGGGGGCCCTGAATGTAGCCGGGGCGTATATATGGCCTAACTGCTGAAAGGGGCTTCTGGGACCTCTCCACGGGTTTTCATCATCCGCATATTGGCACTTTGTGTCACCGGGTGTTTATCTCTTGTGTGATGTCCTGGTGGGGTACAACTACCTACCTACCTACCTAGTCAGCCAATTCCGTTAATTTTTCGAACCATTATAAATGAATAGAATTAAATTGTCGATTTTACAGTAAACATGTTAATTTCAAGTTCAAGACCTAGTTTTTTTTTTCCAGAGTCGCATCTTCATAATAAATGTTGGTCTATCCAGACCAAGCGCCGGTTTTTACTGCACGCTTGACAAGTATCTAGGGGTGTTATGTATAAATGTCAGTCATCACACCTACACACTGGATTCCCGCTAGCCCAGCGGTTCTTAACCTATGAGTCGCAACCCTTTTGGGGGTCAAACGGCCTTTTCACAGGGGTCGCCTAATACCATCGGAAAACACATATTCACTGGAGTTATGACGTAGCAACGAAACCAATGTTATAGTTGGGGGTTCAACACAACACGACGAACTGTATTTAAGGGTCGCGGCATTAGGCAGGTTGAGAACCCCTGCTCTACTCTCAACGGGTCGCTTAAGACCGTAGAAAAACATATATTCACTGAAGTTATGAAGTAGCAACGAAAATAATTGTTTGGTTGGGGAGTCAACACAACATGAGAAACTGTATTAAAGGGTCGTGGCATTAGAGTGGCTGAGAGCCGTTGGTATAAAGGGACCTCATGAAGAATTAATGATCTTTCGCATAATACAGTGACTACATGAACAATTAATCATCTTTCACATAATAAAGTGACCACATGAAGAATTAATGATCTTTCACATAATGTAGTGACCACATGAAGAATTAATGATCTTTCACATAATGTAGTGACCACATGAAGAATTAATGATCTTTCACATAATATAGTGACCACATGAAGAATTAATGATCTTTCACATAACATAGTGCCCACATGAACAATTAATCATCTTTCACATAATACAGTGACTACATGAACAATTAATCATCTTTCACATAATATAGTGCCCACATGAACAATTAATCATCTTTCACATAATACAGTGACTACATGAACAATTAATCATCTTTCACATAATACAGTGACTACATGAACAATTAATCATCTTTCACATAATACAGTGACTACATGAACAATTAATCATCTTTCACATAATGTAGTGCCTACATGAACAATTAATCATCTTTCACATAATGTAGTGCCCACATAAACAATTAATCATCTTTCACATCATACAGTGACCACATGAACAATAATAATCTTTCACATAATATAGTGACCACATAAACAATTAATCATCTTTCACAGAATATAGTGACCACATGAAGAATTGATCATCTTTCACAGAATATAGTGACCAGATGAAGAATTAATTATCTTTCACAGAATATAGTGACCACATGAACAATTAATCATCTTTCACAGAATATAGTGACCACATGAACAATTAATCATCTTTCACAGAATATAGTAACCACGTGAAGAATTAATTATCTTTCACAGAATATAGTGACCACATGAACAATTAATCATCTTTCACAGAATATAGTGACCACATGAACAATTAATCATCTTTCACATAATACAGTGCCCACATGAACAATTAATCATCTTTCACGGAATATAGTGACCACATGAACAATTAATCATCTTTCACGGAATATAGTGACCACATGAACAATTAATCATCTTTCACATAATACAGTGCCCACATTACATATTGGTCATCTTTCACAGAATATAGTGACCCGATGAAGAAATAATCATCGGTCACACATCGTAATAACATCTCCCTAAAAGAGCTTACTCTAGCTCCCCCAACTTACACAAGGTCTAGAAATCATGTTTATAGTTTTCTCAGCTGGTCAGGAGCAAAGTTTGGTAAGCCATCATTGATTTACGGAAGCCCATATCAAGCGATCATTTTCATTTTGTCATCAAGTTGTGGAATGCACCAGGGTCTTTGTTCAAATTGCAATCTAAAGCTGCTGCAATAAATTCTGAGGGATTGGTAAAATGAAGGTAGGAATAAAAGTTAATAGACCGTTAAGTGGCTCTACAGTTGAGAAAAGAGCTTTTGTAGAATAGGGTCAGTGGAGTGGCGGTAAATTACCGCCAGCGTCATTGAAGTGACCTGGCCAAGTGCAGGTCGTAGCAGAGATAAATTTTCGGCAGATAGACATCAAGACACACGAACTGATAGAAATACAGAAAACAAATGGATGGATGGATAGATGGATGGATGCATGGATTGATAAATTCACAGACAGACAGACAGGCCGACAGACAGGCCGACAGACAGGCCGACAGACAGACAGACAGACAGACAGACAGACAGACAGACAGACAGACAGACAGACAGACAGACAGACAGACAGACAGACAGACAGACAGACAGACAGACAGACAGACAGACAGACAGACAGACAGACAGACAGACAGACATAAACACACAGACAGACAGACATGAAGACAGATAAGGAAACCATCTCGAGAGGATCGATTTCATGTCACAAAGTTTTATCCCATTTGGCTCGGGACCTCTCCGCCTATGGACTAGTTAGCATCGCACAAAGCCTGAATTTCAGTAACTCTAGCGACAATCCCAAGGAATATCCAAACACATGCACTCATAAATGAAACGAGAGATTCTGAAACCTAACCTACGACCTCAGCTTTACTAATTGCAGATCTAAGGACCGACATTGGCTTACTTGGACGTGTCCAAGGAAGCAGAACTGGTCTTGCAGTGGATACCAGCCCACTGTGGTATTCAAGGAAATGAGAGAGCAGATGAGTTGGCAAAAGCTGGGAGTAATCTTCCACAACCTCATCCACCACACAGCTACAAGGAAACCAAAACAGCGCTAAAGCAGTCTTTCGAGCGGGAGTGAAGGCAGAATGGAGATTACAGACCAAAGAGTGACAGCATAAACAAACTCAACAGGAAAGAACAAACAACAATTTTTAGACTTTGGACTGGACACTGTCGTCTTCGAGCACACCTGTACAGGATAGGCATAAAAGAATCTGCTGCCTGTGATTATGAAGCAAAAAGACAGACCCCTGAGCACATACTACAGTACTGCCCTTACCTCTCCCAGCAAAGACTGTGGATCTGGTCCACAGGAGCCACATTGAAAGAGAAGTTATGGGGGACCGGTGGCGACCTTAAACGCACAATCCTATTTGTGACACCAGACGGGACTCAATGTTTAGCATGACTGATGTCGAACGCAGAAGAAGAAGAAGGCAAATGGTTGAAACGCCCCTGTCAGTGGTTCGTTATCGCCTTCATCATCATTTAGCAGGTTCTTTGAAGAACGTCGCTCTCACCACGGTCTGCCTAAAAGAAACTCGGTCTCTCACCAGCTCTCCCGCCTCGTGTACTTTTATATTTAAGGAGTCATTTATATCTTGTTCCCGTCTTAGTGTTGATCGGCCTCTGCTCCTCCTTCCTGGTACCATGCCTTCTGCTAGTGTTTCTTCCAATCCACCGTGTCGCTTGATATGACCAAAACATTTCAGCTAGCTGTTATTGCCTTACAGTGCTAGAAATCATGTACAGTCCCTGTCCTTGTTGCCAATAGAGAAACCAATAACTTGTATTGTCGTGTTTCAGACACAACCTTGGAGCGGAACAACCTGATGGAGAAAGTGTACCCAAGACTCAAGGATTACTGCAGGGAGAAACACGGTCTGGAGTTCCAGGTGAGTCAAGTGCAGATGTTGGTACAAGATAAATAGAGCATATCATATTTTCACATCAGCTGTAGACAATGATAAAATGGGCCTCAGTTTAAATAATAGGAAGATAGAAGTAATGGTGATGAAAAAAAAAAAAATAGCGCTTAAATGTAAAATAAAAGTTAAAGCCGTTATTTTAGGAAAAGTACAGAGACAAAGAATTGAAAGGCCAAGACATCATTAAAAAAATGAAAAACATTTAATGCAATAAATCCACATCATTGGAGTTTAGGAAAATAATTCTCACATGCTAAAAAGAGCAAGTTTTTAACCCTGTGAATCCTGGACAAATAATAAACAGGTCGTACATTTTCTTGAAGCCTCGAAGATATGGTTTTATAGAAGAATCCTTAGAATTCTTTGGATAGCCAAAAAAAAGCAACCCAGATGTTTTGAAACAGACGAGGGCTCGATGACATCATAAACATCAGAATGAGACAGTCATCATTTTTGGTTATGTAATGAGAAAAGGGAAACTGGAACATGTTGTGGCCACTGTAACGATCTGTGGGAAGACAGACAAATGAAGACAGCTTGAGAAGATTCTTGAAAACCTCTTGTCATTGCATGGAGGGGTGTAAACACACGAATTGTTACACGCAGTTGCGATCGCCGATTGCGAAGAGCCATGAACTTGAAGAAGATCATCATCCACACATATATGTTATACTTCTCTCTACCCAGGAGCAGACAGAAGACTCAACATCAAGCCTTTATATTTTAGAAACTGATACACTCCCCTCCAGATTTATTATAATCATTGTGGTTTGCTGTAGTTAGAAAAATGTTTATCCTTTACAGGACGTTGTAGAACCAACCCCAGCAGACTTTCTGCTGTGGTTTTTTTAGGCAAATATTACGTTTAGTAGTTCGCCAATGCCTTGAACGGTCGACTCTCTTTCTCTTCAGTTAAATATAATTTCTCCCCACATTATTTACTGTAATTTAAATTTCTCTTTTCTTACTGTAAGGACCCTTCAATTACTTCTGAGCTATACGTTTTTCTGATGTGAGGGCATTCTTTATTTACATTTTTAAAAATCTCTCTGCCGGGACGGGGGGAATCTATGCTGGTTTTCTTGGAGCAAATGATAAAAACAGAAGTGACTGCAGTCTAGCTAATACCATGAAATGAATGTAGTGAACTGTTACTACAGAATCTTACGGAAACGGGGAATGGGAACATCGCGCGCAAACTGAGCTTTCGGCCGGAGCTTTTCTCGTCATAAGCTACACAACAACAAACTACGCCCTTTGTTTTTAGTCACAATTCATTTGATTAATTTCTTGCAGTAGCTGACTGCCAGGCAGGAGCTGCACGGAGACTGATTTTACTACCTATATTTCACCATTTTTGGAACAAAAGGGGCAGTGAACCTAGGGAGTTCAGACCCCAGGGCTAGTTGCAGTCGCCGTGGACTTTCGCTTTTGCCCTAAACATAAAAACCTCACTGTCAGCAGAACCCAGATAGAAAGACCGGGCCGAGTACAAAATGAGGCCACGAGACTCATACTCGGCTGCCCAAAAGACGTCTCTGGCTACGCCATGTGATACAAAACAAAAGTTAAGTTCCATTTTCACGCCTTTAGGCGCATCGAGCAAATGGGAAGAGAGCCCGTATTTTTACAAATAAATTGGAACTAGGTGGGTAATGTGGTCAGCATTACGCCAGCCGTCTTTACTTCCGCAGGACATACATCCTGGTACCCATTTTAGACTGGGTCGCCCGGTGATTCACCATACCATTGTAAATATCTACGCAGCCAGCAGCGGTTTCGATCGCGGTACGTGGGAATTACCAGTCGGACTCGCAACGCCTAAACAGCAACGCTATACACAACACAAAAGGAATGCGCCTCAAAAAATGCAGCTCTTGGATGACCAAAGCTGAGGATTTAACCCAGCAGGTATGTGATTTAGACGAGATCAGTCACAGAAATGAACGGACGAACACACCAGCAGACATGTAGGGCATCTCTAAGGTTCGAATCTCTGACACTAACACGATTTTGTGACATGAGAGTAAAGCATCGTGCAAGTACGTCTATGCTGCCTTCAAGGCCGAGATAGAAGACATTATAAACCAACCTCTCATGGGAACAATTAGTAGATGCCCCTTGGAGTAGTTGATGCATCGGAGGACAAAACACGCTTGCGAATGCCCAATGTGCAGTAACGTCAATTGTGATAACATAACATAACATGGTTACCAGGCCGACCAGCTAACATGATCCCAACTACACTAACACCAGCTGTCATTGTCCCGAAACGAACTACATACATTCAGAACATAGTATTTGATAACCACAAGCTGGCGTTAACTGTAACTTTACTGATGTTTGATGGAAACCTTTTTTCTGACTGGAGAATAAAGGGTGCTTGTTGCTGACGATATCACCAGGTTAGGATCTGAGTTTATGTGTGTAGCTTTACCGAGGTGTCTCCACCTTGGCGAAGCAGGGGAACTGAAGTGTCTCAGTGACAATGAGAGCTTTACTGGCGGCAGGTACCCGCAGTTTTCCCCAAGCCGGACATGCCGACGGGTTGGGAAAAGACAAAGAGAGAATTCTGGTCCTCCAGGCATGGGTTGAAGCGTGGGGTAGACGCCCCCTTCCTTTGGTAAAACCTCTTTTTGCCATGTCGCAGGCATACGCCGAGCTGATGGGGCTAGTAGGTGGAGACAGCAATCCATCTAGGAAAAGGAACTCTAGTCACAAAACTCCACTGCCGCTGGATAGATAAATCTTTGTTGACCATGGACTAAGGACGCGTATCCTAACTAAAAAGAACGTCAGTGTCTGTGGCTTAGGCGTTGAGAGCGTGCTTCGTAATGCCAGGGTGCTGGGTTCGATCCCTGCTGCGGACGATTTGTCTTGCACTGGTTTTGACAGTGGTACCAAGAGCTGAACGTTCAGTTGCAATGACAAACTACTGAACGCAAAACTTGCTTAGAAAAACCACAACAGCCAATAAATGCTGGGGTTGGTTCTGCAAAGTCCTGAAAAGGATACGCAACTAACTTTATTTATAATGTTGGAAGTGCCGGGATGAGAGCCGCAGATAATCCAGAAAGTTTAAATGCTTAATTATGAATTAACATCACATCACTCGTGACACTCGCATAAGCACTATGTCCCCATCTTCAGCAGCAAGCGATGAATTCTAATTCCGATTACACAAGAAACTGTCTCACTGTATAACCCTCTCGCCCTTCCCTTGAGTGTTGAGCGTCGGCCAGATCCCCTGGTGACTCAGCCCAGAAAGGTGTCACAGTTGAACCAAAAAAACCAGCATCACGCAACTCATCCCTGAAGGAAGAACGAAAAGATAATGCGACGTATCTTTAAAAACTGCTTTACTGAGAAAAAATAACTCGGGCATTCTAACGTCTACACCCACACGCTCCTCCAACAATGAAAACAGATCATAATAATTGACCCCGATGTTTTGCATCTGTAATATCGACCTTTGCTTGACCCTGTCATCGATCCATTGCGATAGAGGAGGCACCTGCTAAGTGATTTGGTAACGGAGATGCTGGCAAATAGTGTGCCATTAACCGCACTTGCAACTTGATACCAAGGCAACAACGGAAAACAAATGGCGAATTCTATACCACTGTAGCAAAAAACTTTCACCGGCAAATTATAGTGCTGAACAACAATAGTGTAGTTAAATGTATGAATCTGAGGTACTGAAAAGCTTTTGAAATCGTATTGATGAAACGTGTAGGAGTTCGTGCACTCAAGTTCATGTTCCAATACCGAAACGGCGCGTGCAAAAGACAATCTTAGGATTCTTCTGATGTTTTTGTTAATTTGGAAAAGGCTTGTTTATCCCCATCTGGAAGATATGATCTTTTTATCAATTATTTAATTGAATTCTCTCATTGTTTCTGTTTTTCTCATACTCCTTAGCTCTGTCTTCGTCTCTCACAATCTGTCTGTTTCTTTCCGTGCGCCTGTGTCTGTCTCAGTCACTCCCTTTCTCGCTCTCTTCTTTTTTTTTTTTTTCGTGTCTGCTTGTCCGTCTCTGTCTCTTACCATTTCTCTCTCTCTCTCTCTCTCTCTCTCTCTCTCTCTCTCTCTCTCTCTCTCTCTCTCTCTCTCTCTCTCTCTCTCTCTCCGCTCTTCTGACTCTCTCTATCACCATCACTTTTTGTCTCCGCCTCTTTCTTTTTTTTTTTTCAGTCACCCTGCCTGTCCTTGTCTCATCCCCTTATCCCTCTCCATTCCGTTATCTTTCTTTAAATTACCATAAACAATGATCATATTGATCTTACAGCGATCGCCGCTGTTGTAGTTCTCTCACGTCGACGATTCCACACATTTACAATAAAGTAATTATACTGGGTAGTCGTCGTGGTCAAGCAGCTAAACGCTCGCCTGCGGGTAAGAAGGCCGTGGGTTCGGATCCTGATGGAGCCGGGCTTTCTTCAGAAATGACCTTGGCTCCCAGGTCAACCCAGCCTTGAGTGAGTACCATGTGCGGTCCTAGGAAGTAAAGGCGGCCGGTTTGATGTTGACATCACACACCAAGTGCCGATTGGACTATAAAATATAAGTCTAGCCCTATATGCCCAATACGCCCGAGGGCGAAGAAAAGGGTCGCTAACTTGTAACTTTACTTTTAATTATACTGGGCAATAAATACATCAGACAAATTCAAACAAAGTCAAAATAATACACGGCGAAATCACCAAAAAAAGTTTGAAAGGGTACAACAATAATGGTACGTGACTATTCTGTTGGGTTTCGCATCGTGGCTAATTATATTTTTCTAAAATTGACCATGACTCTCGTGTCGACAACCTAAAATAAAACCATTTAATGACTTGGGAAGTCAAGGCGCCTGACTTGATATTGACCACATCACCCGCCGAGTGCCGCCTGGTCTATAAACATCTAGCTTGGGTGACCGTACCTCCTATTTTCACCGGCGGCAGTCCCGTTTTTAGGTGTGT